AGTGTGGAAATTAGGAGAAGGTGTGGAGTTAATAAAAGTATTAGTTAGAGGGCAGAAGAGGGGTTGTTGAGGTGGTTTGGTCATTTAGAGAGAATGGATCAAAGTAGAATGACATGGAAAGCATATAAATCTATAGGGGAAGGAAGGCGGGGTAGGGGTCGTCCTCGAAAGGGTTGGAGAGAGGGGGTAAAGGAGGTTTTTTGGGCAAGGGGCTTGGACTTCCAGCAAGCGTGCGTGAGCGTGTTAGATAGGAGTGAATGGAGACGAATGGTACTTGGGACCTGACGATCTGTTGGAGTGTGAGCAGGGTAATATTTAGTGAAGGGATTCAGGGAAACTGGTTATTTTCATATAGTCGGACTTGAGTCCTGGAAATGGGAAGTACAATGCCTGCACTTTAAAGGAGGGGTTTGGGATATTGGCAGTTTGGAGGGATATGTTGTGTATCTTTATATGTGTATGCTTCTAGACTGTTGTATTCTGAGCACCTCTGCAAAAACAGTGATAATGTGCGAGTGTGGTGAAAGTGTTGAATGATGATGAAAGTATTTTCTTTTTGGGGATTTTCTTTCTTTTTTGGGTCACCCTGCCTCGGTGGGAGACGACCGACTTGTTGAAAAAAAAAAAAAAAAAAAAAAAAAAATTCTGATAGATAAATAAGCCATAGAGTTGATATTAGCTTTATATTGAAGTATTTTCTCCTGCCCCTGAGGTGGTTTTTTTGGGGGCTGGAACGGATTAATGGTTTCATTTAATTTCAATGAGGAAAGTTGATTTTATATACGAGTAAATTGAGTACAGGTCTCCCTCAACATTCGCGAGGGTTAGGGGATCAAGATCCTCGCAAATGTTGAAAAATCGCGAATGTTTGGTGCCCCAATATATTGTAGGGAAATATTATACAATACTTCTTCCTTAACTTGTTGAACCATGAACAATCATAAAATACATGAAAATGTCGTATTATTATTATAATTAAAAAGAAGCGCTAAGCCACAAGGGCTATACAACTGAAAATGTCGTAAATTGTACTAAATACATACATGATATGGTTTAATAACATATTAAATACCACTGCCTCCACTTCCTCGACCACTGCGAGTCCCTACTACCCTCCCTCCGACCCCCCCCCATCTGGCAGCCAACCCTCCCACCAGTGTGATGAGTGTTTTGTTTGTTCATTATTTGCTATTAAACTAAAGTATAATGTAAACCCATTCATGACTGCATATTGGAATGGCTATTCAGACAGGTATTGGACAGTGACATCATGTGTTTACTCTTGAACACAGCAAAAAATGAAACATATCTGCTACTGCTAATATTAACTAGTAGTAGTAGTAGTAATAATAATAATAATAATAATAATAATAATAATAATTTATAATAATAATAAATACGATAGAATTGAAGAAGGAAATTGTACAAAAATACGAGGGAGTGGTTAACACATCGTCAGTGTGGCTTTCTTTATGCTGGAGTGAGCGTTAGTCTCCGTGCTCTTCCAAACATTTCAAAATAATTCATTGTGTTTGGTGCTTGTAGATTGAGTGCGACTGCAGTGGGTAGAGGCAATGGTAGAGGCAGTGGTGTTTAATTACATGTTATAAATAATAATAATACATATTATTAATATGTATTATTATTATTACAGGTCTCCCTCAACATTCGCGAGGGTTAGGGGATCAAGAGCCTCGCGAATGTTGAAAAACCGTGAATGTTTGGTGCCCCAATATATTGTAGGGAAATATATTACAATACTGCTTCCTTAACTTGTTGAACCATTAATAATCATAAAATACATGAAAACGTCATAAATTGTACTAAATATATACATGTTATGCTTTAATAATGTATGTTATTTAATAACATGTATGTTAATAACATGTATGTTATTAAATACCACAGACTCTACCACTTCCTCCACCACTGCGAGTCCCTGCTACCCTCCCTCCGACACCCACAACTGGCAGCCAGTCCTCCCACCACTGTGTGGTGAGTGTTTTGTTTGTTTATTATTTGCTATTAAACTACAGAATAAATAATGTAAACCCATTCATGACTGCATATTGGAATGGCTATTAGGAAAGGTATTAGACAGTGACATCATGTGTTTACTCTTGAACACAGCAAAGAATCGAACATTTCTGCTCTTGCTAATAATAACAATAGTAATAATAATAATAATAATAATAATAAAAAATACGATAATTGAAGAAGGAAATTGTACAAAAATACTAGGGAGTTGTTGACACATCGTCAGTGTGACTTTGTTTATGCTGGAGTGAACATTAATCTCCCTGCTCTTCCAAACATTTCACAATAATTCAGCGGTTGAGGCAGTGGTATTTAATAACATATATGTTATAAATAAAATAATCAATCACTGCCTCTACCACTCCAGTCACACTCAATCTACAAGCACCAAACACAATGAATTATTGTGAAATGTTTGGAAGAGCAGGGAGACTAATGTTCACTCCAGCGTAAACAAAGTCACACTGACGATGTGTCAACCACTCCCTCGTATTTTTGTACAATTTCCTTCTTCAATTATATCATATTTATTATTATTTATTATTATTATTATTATTATTATTATTATTATTATTATTACTATTGTTATTATTAGCTGTAGCAGAAATATTTAATTCTTTGCTGTGTTCAAGAGTAAACACATGATGTCTCCGTCTAATACCTGTCCGAATAACCATTCCAATATGCAGTCATGAATGGGTTTACATTATTTATTCTGTAGTTCAATAGCAAATAGTAAACAAACAAAACACTCACCACACAGTGGTGGGAGGGCTGGCTGCCAGTTGCGGGGGTCGGTGGGAGGGTAGTAGGGACTCGCAGGTGGTGGGAAACTTAAATATGATTTGGCAGCTGGGAATTTGGTGGCTGGGAATTTGGCAGTTGAAAATTCGTGAATGTGTGAAGCCCGTGAAAGTTGAAAACGTGAATGTTGAGGGAGACCTGTATTAATAATATGTATGTTATTAAATACCACTGCCTCAACTGCTGCCTCAACCGCTGCCTCAACCACTGCCTCTACCACTGCCTCTACCACTCCAGTTGCACTCAATCTACAAGCACCAAACACAATGAATTATTGTGAAGTGTTTGGAAGAGCACGGAGACTAACGCTCACTCCAGCATAAAGAAAGCCACACTGACGATGTGTCAACCACTCCCTAGTATTTTGGTACAATTTCCTTCTTCAATTCTATCGTATTTATTATTATTATTATTTATTATTAATTATTTATTATTAATTATTTATTATTATTTATTATTATTATTATTTATTATTATTATTATTATTTATTATTTATTATTATTGTTTATTATTATTATTTATTATTATTATTTATTATTATTATTATTATTAATTATTTATTATCATTATTATTATTATTATTATTATATTATTATTATTTATTATTATTTATTATTATTTATTATTTATTATTATTTATTATTTATTATTATTTATTATTATTATTTATTATTATTATTATTATTATTTATTATTATTATTTATTATTATTATTTATTAATTATTTATTATTATTTATTATTAATATTTATTATTAATTATTATTAATTATTTATTATTAATTATTATTAATTTTTATTATTACTATTTATTATTACTTATTATTTATTTATTTATTTACTGCTACTACTATTAGTACTAGTACTACTACTATTAGTACTAGTACTACTACTATTAGTACTAGTACTACTACTATTAGTACTAGTACTACTACTATTAGTACTAGTACTACTACTATTAGTACTAGTACTACTACTATTAGTACTAGTATACTACTATTGACTACTATTTAGTACTAGTACTACTACTATTAGTACTAGTACTACTACTATTAGTACTAGTACTACTACTATTAGTACTAGTACTACTACTATTAGTACTACTATTGCAGGAATGTTTGATTGTTTGCTGTGTTCAAGAGTAAACACATGTCACTGTCCAATACCTGTCCGAAGAGCCATTCCAATATGCAGTCATGAATGGGTTTACATTATTTATACTGTAGTTTAATAGCAAAATAATGAATAAACAAAACACTCGCCACACTGGTGGGAGGGCTGGCTGCCATTTGCGGGGGTCGGAGGGAGGGTAGTAGGGACTCGCAGGTGGCAGGAAACTTAAACATGATTTGGCGGCTGGGAATTTGGAGGCTTGGAATTTGGCGGTTGGTAATTCGCGAATGTGTGAAGCCCGCGAAAGTTGAAAACGCGAATGTTGAGGGAGACTTGTATAAAATAAAGGCCTAACTCTGAATGGTCGTTTAAGAATTTGGGAAGAAATGGGTTGATTAACATTTTGTGCACTCTCAACTAATCTAAAGAGGCTTATTCATATGTGGTTCTTATTGAGTTTTACTTTTTCAACTTTTATACTGAGAATTCACTGCTCTTAGTCTTGGGTACTTTATCACATGTCCATGCTGCTATACATTCTTAATATTTATATGTTTAGACATTACTGTCTTCCAATTTCTGCATCTTCTCTAAATTTTTCATTCGGTGTCATCTGAAGCAGGAAATGGTACAACTTCCATTTTAATTCAGATGCATTATCCTGTAAAGCTAAACTTCTCCCTATGGATATGTGAAGTATTTTAGACTGTTGCGAGAAAAGCAACAGTCTAAAATAATTAACATATCCATAGCAACTTCCCACATCCATGTTAAGGTTTCCCCTCATATGACAGACATTTATCTTTGTACTATAGTGGATGCCTTGCACCTTCCTTGAAACAAGTTTACCATGTATCAACATTTCCTGTATTTTTCCCAAATCTGCTCTATCACATGTCTAATCCTAGGCTGTAAGTTTAAAAAAAAAAGTAGAAATAAAATATCAGTTTGCAGGATATTTTATTATTTCCTTGATGTTTTTAATATCCAGGAAGTGTTGCTAACACATACTGCCAGAAATGTAATAAATGTGTGTTTTTGTACAGAGTGCCAGCTTTTGGTAATGTGGACCGGTTTGTGGGAAACAAGGATTTCCAGAACTGGCTTGAGTCTGCAACTGCTGAGCTGAATGTTCCAACCATTTGGGAAACGGAGAAACAGCTCACACCAATTGGTCAGTCCATGTACCAGGTGTTAGCTATTCAGGCATTCAGACCTGATAGATTGTGTGCAGCAGTTAGCATCTTTGTGAATAATGTAAGTACAGTTTGTGAAAAACTTTGTTAGTGAATATAAAAAATACTATACACTGACACATGTACATTGTGCAATTGTAAGATGGTAATTAATCTATTTATTAATACTGATAAGTCCTTTAATTTATATTCTAATAAAAGATAATTCATATTAGGAGATACCATACTGTATAGTTTTGGCGGCCACTTCACTTCCTCAATCCTCCCTTATTTTTCGTACTATTTAGTGTCCTGGTGATATCAAGGCAGCTTCTACACATAGGCTTGAAACATGTTAGTTTATGAAGGACCATAACTTAAATATTTGGCAGTGATTATTTTATGAACCATGGGGAAGTGGAGCAAAGGGTTAGTAACCCCTTCTGTATTCGTTACTAAATTTAAAAAGAAATTCGTTTTTCTTTTTAGGTCACCCTGCCTTGGTGGGATATGGCCAGTTTGTTGGGGGAAAAAAAAAGTCACTGGGGGGGGGATGCAAGTATTTGCTGTTAAACTGGAGTGAATATGAAAAAGTTGAAATAAAATGAACACTGGACACTTCTAACACCAAGTTATATGCTGAATAGTCTGTTGACAATCCAGGTTCAGAAAGTTGACCATCTTGTGACATTTGTCTTCAATATTAATGCTGTTTTTAACCTTCACTGCAGGTGTTGGGGGATGGTTTCCTAGCCATTGGAGAACGCGAGGTAGATATGGCAGGAATAGTTGAGAATGAAGTGAAAGCCAGTACTCCAGTACTCATGTGTGCTGTTCAAGGCTTTGATGCTTCTGCAAGGGTTGACGATTTAGCTACTGAGCGGAACAAGCCAATTACGGCTATTGCTATTGGATCAGCTGAAGGCTTCAGTCAGGCAGAGAAAGTAATCAACTCTGCAGTTAAAAATGGAAGGTCAGTTATCACCAGTAAACTTGGTAAACCCTATTTTGTTTTTCGTAATCTAAATATTTGCAGGTCTAATAATTTAACCTTTGTAGAGAGGTATTTCTGTTGAGAATTAACAAAATTTTTTTTTTTTAAATAGGTGGGTGATGCTGAAGAATGTTCATCTAGCTCCTGGCTGGCTTGTTCAGTTGGAAAAGAAATTGCATTCACTACACCCTCATCCACAGTTTCGTCTGTTCCTCACCATGGAAATTACTCCTCGTTTGCCAGTTAACCTCTTGCGAGCTGGTCGTGTATTTGTCTTTGAGCCACCACCTGGTGTGAGGGCTAATTTGATGCGAACATTTAGCACAGTAAGTAATCTTGCAACTTGATAGTATTTACATGAAGTGTAATTAAATGTTTCATAAGTTATCAAGGCTTGGATGCAAGTTTCTGTACAAAGGTCACTTGACCAAAGTCTTTGACAGGATCCCCCTATTAATGATCCTATTAACTTCTACTTATAAGAAAGTCAGATTCAATCTGGATGCCCTTATAATCAGGGAATCTTCACTCGCTAAAAAGGATTGAATTTCTTGTCCACTGGAAATGGACAAAAAGAAAGTAAGGCCTAAGCAAATATGGCAGTCAATATTATGATCCATATTTTTCACAGGAATTACATAGTGTATATTTGCCTCTCTTCAGATACACTACATTATTTCGTATTGTTCTAGAAGTATTCGTGCAGCCTCTGGTTTATTTTTCAAGATGTACTGTAAATTACATAATTAGGCAATTTTTTTTAATATAGTAATGACATAGAATTATGTTTAAGTTATGCACATACATGAAATTTCACAGGTACCAGCATCTCGTATGATGCGTGCTCCCAGCGAGCGTGCACGACTGTACTTCATCTTGGCCTGGTTCCATGCCATCACTCAGGAACGGTTGCGCTATGCTCCTCTTGGCTGGGCTAAATACTATGAGTTCAATGAGTCAGACTTGAGGGTAGCTTGTGATACACTTGACACTTGGATTGAAGCTACAGCAATGGTAGGTTACCAAAATTGAGTTGGAGAATTGTTTTTAATTTACTAGAAAAATAATCACTTGATAAATGATTTGTAATCGTAATAAATTTATTTGCAGACTTCATGTTTAAATGTAAATTTTCTTAATTTGTCTTCCATTTTTAGGGACGAACAAATCTTCCACCTGAAAAAGTACCGTGGGATGCTTTGGCCACCCTAATGTCCCAGTGCATCTATGGTGGTAAAATTGATAATGAATTTGATCAGCGACTCCTTACTTCATTCCTCTCAAAGCTGTTTACACCAAGGAGCTTTGACCCTGATTTCCCATTGGTCTCCAATGTTGATGGTTAGTCTTTTTTTAGCAAGTTATTTAAATTGTGATTGTTAGTGAATTTGATATTCTATATTGCATTATCATGGGTGTTATTCGTGATTTTTTTATTAAATGATGCAAACATTTGCATTTATTTTTATACAGGCATTGAGGGTGAGAATATTACCATGCCAGATGGTATCCGAAGAGACCAGTTCCTACATTGGATTGAAAATCTTAGTGATCGCCAGACTCCATCATGGCTTGGACTGCCAAACAATGCTGAGAAGGTTCTCCTTACCACCAGAGGTGATAAACTGAATTTAAATTTTGTATATGTGTTGGCTTTCCTGTATATATAGTTACAGTGTATTAGTAGTTTCTTGGCTTTGGTTTTTGTACTTGGGACCGTAACACTCTTTGTGAATACAAAGGCTGCACTGTATTATACATATAAATGGTGGTCATATTAAATTAAAAAATAATTATTTATAACAGGTACTGACATGCTGAGCAAATTGTTAAAGATGCAGGTACTGGAGGATGATGACGAGTTAGCCTACGGAGGAGATGAGACCCCTGGCACTGAGCGCAAGAACGTGGAGGTATTGATATGACTATTGACAGTTTTTTTTTAAATACAAGTAGAATTAATTATTGTGAGGTGAGGTTCTGACCAGAGCTTTGGTAAGATGGAGGAGGAAGAAGGATGGGTAAGGATGGAATGTTAGAAAGGTTTGGGAGGGTGGAGGGGGAGGTGGGGTTTTAAAGGTAAGTGGCCTATCCACTTTGGTGCAATTTAAATACGTGTGTGTGTATGTTGTGTAATTCATAAAAAGTTGAATTCATGAGATAGGTATACCTCCTGCCCATCAGTTGCACACTGCTATACCAGCTGTATACAGGTGTGCCACTGAATTGGAAGGATGTATACTGTTTGCAATTGCTTTTTTTTTTTCCCTTCAAGAGGTTGGTCGTAAGGCTGCTGCTGCAGGTGGTAGTTTGATGGAGGTTGGTTGCTTTCCTGGAGTTGGTTGGCTAAGCACTTCCTGGGGCAGTGTCTTGCTGTAGGCTGGTTGTAGATGTTACAAGGTTAGTTGTAAGGTGTTAATTGACAGAAGTGGGTCACCCAAGAATGGGGAGCGTTAATCCATGTTATTGGACGTAGAATGGTTCTGGTGGTATCCATTCTTCTAATTCTTTGGGGAGGTCACTCAGGATTCTCGGTCGAGGGGAGTTCTCCTTGTGGATGAAGCGTCGGACTCTTTGTTGGAGGGTCATTCTTTGGGATCTGTAGGGGGGGTTGCTGATGGTGTAGTCGGTCGTGTTCGTTGGTTGGGGTGGGTTCTCTCTGTCGAGTACATAGAGTTCCTGCATGTCATATAGTTCTTCTTTAATTTGTCAAACCTGATATTAATTGCAGTGATTCTCTGTTGCATGTGCAGGTCTTCAGTCCTGATTCTGTCTTTGAATCTGGTGCTGGTGATGAAGCGGAGGGCTTTGTTTTGGACTCTTTGAAGTTTTAGCATGTTGGTTTTAGTTGTTAGTGACATGGGTATGCAAGGGTATTCTAGCAGAGGTCTGATCATCATCTTGTACAGGTGTTTCTTGATGTGGGAGGGGGCTGCATTGAATCGGAAAAGTTGACTGAGGCAGGCTTTTGCTAGGTTTACTTTTTTGGTTATGTGGGATGTGGAGTTGAGTAATCTGTCGATCTCATACCCTAGGATCTTGTTTGGATTTCTGATGGCGATTCGTGTACCTCTGATGGAAATGCCCCCTTTGATCAAAACTTTGGAGTCCAGTCCCTGGACCAATTATGTACCTCTGTAATCTTTTGACTACCGCCCACAGGATGGGTATGGGGTGCATAATAAACATATTAAACTAAACTGTCTTCTATGGTTGATGCTAAACAACCAATGGTGCTGATGAGGACTATCTGGGTTGGTTGTGATTCTCCATTTTTTCTCCCATGTAGCTGTTCTCCGTAGTTCTTTGTTCATTTTCTCTATTGCTCTCCCATGTTTGTTTGCGCCAGAGATGGGGGTCGAAGAGACTACATGGATAACATCGTCTGCAAGTTTGGTGATGATGGTATTGTGTTCAGGTTGGGGAGGTCGTTAACATGTATATTGAAGAGTATAGGGCTGAGGCAAGAGCCTTGTGGTACGCCAGCTGTTGACGTGAAGGGCATTGCTGCCATACCGTGGAAGGTGGGAATGATACTTCTACCTGTTAAGAAGTTGTATATGAACCTAAGAAAGGTCCAGTTGTGATCTGGGAGGTCTGCAAGTTTGAAGATGAGTCTGTCGTGCCACAGGCTGTTGAAGGCCTTGTGTATGTCCCTAGTTGCGATCAGGGCAAGGTTTCCTTGCTTCCTCAGGCTGGTCACAGCATCAAAGATGATATTTATTGCATGTTGTGTGCTGCAGTGGGACCTGAAGCCAAACTGTTTTTTTGGTGAATAAGTGGTTGAATTCCCTGTAGTAGTTCAGTCTGAGATTATTTTCTCGAAGACTTTGCCTGTGACTTCGAGTAAGGGGATGGGCCTGTAGTTTTCGGGATTTCGGTTGTCTTTGTTGGGTTTTGCGATGAAAATAATTTTTGCTGTCTAAAATGCCACTTTGGAAGTGTCCCGATGCCAAGATGGCGTTGAAGACATTCACCAGCTACATCTTGCGGTTACAGGGAAAGGTACTTCAATTGTTTTGCTGTTATGCCTGAAGGGCCAGGTGCTGTGTTTCTCATTTGGCTGATGACTTGGGACACTTCCCTGAGAGTGATTGGTCTAGCTAGTGGATGTTCGTTTTCGAGAGAAGATATGTCAATTGATGGTATGGGGAGGAAGTCTTCCAGGTTTTTGTCCCACCATTGGTTGACCCACTGGTAGTGGTTGTTAAATCTTCTGCTGTCATTGTGTGAGAGAATGTGCTTTCATATGTCTCCCATCAATTTAGCTTGGTCTTGAGGGTCCTCAAGCAGGGTACTTACCTCCTCGCCGTCTTCGTCGGTGAAGGAGTGTGTAAGGTGTTGTGTGGGAGTGTGTTTAGCCCCCAGCAGTCTGCAGATTTTACTCAAGAACTGTTGTGGGTGGCATTTGTACTGGTCAGCTTGGAGCACTAGATATTTCCAAAGGTCCCATTTGCGCTTGGTGATTAAGGTGATTAACTCTCTCCTCATCCTTTGTAGTACTCCACGTGTGGGCTGCCCTGTGCGGTAGTGCCTACTACACTCAGCTTGGTAGTTTTTCATGCTGTCTTTAATTTCTCTGGTTGGCTTGTACTGTTGGTAGATCTTGGAGGTTGTTAGCTCGCAGCATGCTTGTGTGGCCTCGGTGATTTTGTCATGGAGGAAGTTGATTGCCTCGTCTATTGCAGTGGAGGGTTGGTTCTCAAGAGAAATAGTATGGTCATTTCTCAGGTAGTCTGTAGTGGTCAAAGCCAAGTGTTTTAAGGTTGGGTTTGGGTTGGGTGGGTGTACGGAACGGTGTTGATTGGAGCTAAATTATGACTGGGATATGATCTGATCTGACGTTACCGCCTGGGGAGATTCAGCAGTGGAACAGGTCACAATCCCTGTTGGCAAGTACCACGTCAGGTGACCCTGGGTGGGGGCCCACGAATGGTTTGAAGAATGGGCCTTGGAAGGAGAAATTTCTTGCTGCAATTATGTTGAATAGCTGTTTTCCCTTGTAACCCTGTGGGTGGGCAGCACCCCAGTTGAAAAGAGCTGGGTGATGGGCATTGAAATCGCCTGCTAAGACAGTAGGGACATTTCTGCTGAGTAACCGGTGTAAGGGAATGGATTCTATGTACTGTTGTCTGGGGGGGGGGAGTACCCTGTTCCCATTAGGAGCTGTCCATATGAGGTCTTCAGTTCTATTGCAAAGATGATGTCCTCATCGACATGGATGCTGCGGAAGTCGTGCCCCTGCTTCACTAGGATGGCCACACCACTGTAGGGCCCTCTTGATTTCTTGAGTGTCGAGTAACCAAGTAGCTTAATATGTTGGCCGGGTCTGACTGCAGTTTCATTTAGGAGGATAATGTCCAGGTTGTGGTTGCACAGTTCTGTTTCAAGGAGGTAGTGGTTGTTGAAGTGGTGGATGTTGATTTGCATAATTGTGATACCCATTATATCCAGCTTCTGAACAGAAAAACAAGAAATAACTATGAGCCCCATTCTAGTATAGCTTCCTTTGGTAGTGCTGTGATGGTTGGGTCACTTCGCTGTATTGAAGTTGGATCATGTTAGAACATATCATGAGACCCTCCTTTTAGTGTCTCAGTGTTTTAGTGCGTCAAATATGGTTAAATGCATAGTTCAACATTGCTCCACATTAAATATACAGTGTAATTTTTTTTTTTTTATTAACCCTTTGACTGTCGCAGCCGTATATAAACGTCTTACGAGGTACCGTGTTTGACGTATATATACTCATAAATTCTAGCGGCTTCAAATCAAGCAGGAGAAAGCTGGTAGGCCCACATGTGAGAGAATGGGTCTGTGTGGTCAGTGTGCACCATATAAAAAAAATCCTGGAGCAAGCAGTGCATAATGAGAAAAAAAAACTCAGACCATTTTTTTTTTTTTTAATTAAAATGCCGACTTTGTGGTCTATTTTCGTATAGTATTTATGGTTGTATTCTCGTTTTCTTGGTCTCATTTGATAGAATGGAAAACATATTATAGAAATAGAGGTGATTTTGATTGATTTTACTATAAAAAGAACCTGGAAATGGAGCTCAAAGTAGGGGAAATGTTTGATTTTTGCCAATGTTCAAAAGTAAACAAATGATGCCATTGTCCAGTAAATGTCCAACTAGCCATTCTAATATGCAGTCATGAATGGGTTGATGTTATTTATATAATTATTACAGTATTGCAGTAGTCTGCATAATAGTAAGTCTTCTATTTTTTGTTTGAATAAAAATTCAAAATAGAAAGCAAGAGGAATATCAGAGGGGCCTGGAGACATTACTGATGAACAAAGAAAATGTTATTTTAGAGCCAGGAATGTCTGCATTGTTCATTCTGGACCTTATTTTGAAATTGTCATATTTTTTAATTTTCGTGAAATTGGCCAAATTGCAAATTTCTGACCACATTATTGAGTAGTTGAAATCAGTAAATGGGTAGTTTCTTGTTCTCAATCGATAGAAAAAAAAATGGAGTTCTAAAGAAATAGCTAAGAGTTTGGTCGACTGGAACAACGGAACTGGCCGAAATAGGGCTCAAAGTGGGTGAAATCGCCGATTTGTAAATAACTCCGAGGTCACTAACTTCGCGAGAGCATAATTCCGTCAGTTTTCCATCAAATTTCGTTTTTTTGGTGTCATTACAATCGGGAAAAGATTATCATTTCATAAGATTTTTTTTTTTTTAATTTTGCGACACCAGGAGACACCTCAGGATTGGGGGTTGTGACAGTCAAGGGGTTAACTGCTTTTGTTGAGAATTTGGCCTTGCCAGCTAAGATATAATTATATAATGAACACTTAGCTGATAAATGACAGCAAATCGTCTACACAGCCGTCCCTGCAGACGAGGTCTAGATGCTGTCGAAACCATCACAACAGTGGGCTGTCAAGAGATACAAATTGTAAGTATATTACCCCTAGGGGGTGTTATGTCAGCATATTTCATTCGATGATGGCTGACATACTTACTTGTTTGGACTCAAAAGTCCACACCTTACTGCCGATTATAGGTTGATTACAAACTCCTTGTGACTCAAGAATTGCGCAATCCCCCGATCTACAAGAAATTCGTAACATACCTTGCTCTTTGTAACGTGAGCTATGGTGTTCTCAACACCTTCGACAGATATCGGTGACTTGATAGAAGCTGAAGTGTCCTTGGATGTCCACGTCTTCCATTGTCTAGGAAACGCACACTGGTACACTATGTTCAACAAGATTAGTTTTTATTGTTCACAATGTATCACAAGAGAAGCTGATCACACTTCTCTAAGTGTTTATTGTGTTGTGTGAGACACTTTATTCACACTAACGCACAGATCAGTGTCCTTTGCTGGTTATCCTGGCGTCAGTGTCTCGTAGTAGAGTCAAAGTTAGTCTGGCCAGACGCTACAGGGCTCCATCCCGTCACTGGCCCCAGCACAAAAAAAAACGCTGACCTAGTACCTTGCATCCTTGTCGTCACCTCGATGAAGCAAAGCAGAATGTTTGTTTCTTGCTGTCTTAATCATAGACAACAATGTACAACTTTACTATGGTAATAAAGTGGGAGCAGGATTTTCCTTAATTGTCCTGCTAAAGTAAGAGATGTACTGTCTCTTATAAAAATACACGTTGCAACACCCCTGCAAGGATCAGAGGTCACTTGATTACGCATACGACATCTGTGATCAATTACTCACTCTAGCAGTAAACAAGACGCTCGCCCCCTCTGAGTGGCCCCTCAGGGCTGAAAGGGGCTGAAGGGGGCTGATACCCCCCTCCTGGAGAAAATTTCTCCACAAGGTCACTAACTTCGCGAGAGCATAATTCCGTCAGTTTTCCATCAAATTTCGTTTTTTTGGTGTCATTACAATCGGGAAAAGATTATCATTTCATAAGATTTTTTTTTTTTTTAATTTTGCGACACCAGGAGACACCTCAGGATTGGGGGTTGTGACAGTCAAGGGGTTAACTGCTTTGGTCTAACAGTGCGGGCAAGGAATACATATAATTGTTGCAAGATGTAATACTCCTCCAAACATGGAAACATGTAACATTTACTTATTGGGTTATCCTAGGCTATATCTATAGTGCTTTTTGGCCTAATTACACCAACCCTATTATGAAATTCTGATAAATTTTGAATGAATAAAGCATCTTTTTGCAAGTTCCACACCATTTGTTGGAACAATAGCAGGTCCTGGTGTCACTGACTTAGACTAGTTAGTGTTAACGTTGATGGACTGTGTGGACCCTGCCTTTTTTTTTTTTTTTTTTTTTTTTTTTTTTTTTTTTTTTTTTTTTTTTTTTTTTAGGCATGAGGCTATAGAAGAGCATATTTAACCCTTTGAGGGTTTTCGTCGTACTAGTATGTCTTACACGTAGGGGTTTTTGACGTACTAGTACTCATAAATTCTAGCGGCCTCAAATCTAGTGGGAGAAAGCTGGTAGGCCTTCATATGAAAGAATGGGTCTATGTGGTCAGTGTGCACAGTCTAAAAAAAATCCTGCAGCACACAGTGCATAATGAGAAAAAAAAACTTTGACCATTTTTTTTTAATAAATCAGCGACTTTGCAGTGTATTTTCGTATGGTATTTATTGTTGTATTCTAGTTTTCTTGGTCTCATTTTATAGAATGGAAGACATATTACAGAAATTGAGATGATTTTGACTGGTTTTACAAAGAAAGGTGCCTTGAAATTGAGCTCAAAGTAGCAGAAATGTTCGATTTTTACCAAACTTCAAAAGTAAACAAATCGTGCCAAGCGTGCAATACACGTCAACTGGTGAGTCTAATATTTTTTCACAAGTGCACCAATAATATTTATACCATTTTTTACACTAATGCAGTAGTCTGCATAACAGTAAATCTTATATTTTTTGTGAAAATAAAAATTCAAAGTGGAAAGCAAAAGAATATAAGAGGGGCCTTGAGATGTGACTAATGACTAGAGGAAATGTCATTTTAGTGCCAGGAATGTCTTTCTTGTTTATTCTGGACCCTATTCGGAAATTGGCATCTTTTGAAATTTGTGTGAAATTGGCAAAATTGCTAAATTCTGACCACTGTACTGGATAGTTGGATTTCATAAATGAGTGGTTTCTTGCACCCATTCGATAGAAAAAATGGAGTTCTAGCGAAATATTCATGTTTTTTGTCGACTAGTACAGTGAAATTGGCCGAAAATGGGGCTCAAAGTGGGCAAAATCGCCGATGCGTAAATATCGCCGAGACCGCTAACTTTGCGAGAGCATAATTCCGTAAGTTTTCTATCAAATTTCAAACTTTTGGTGTCTTTATGATCGGGAAAAGATTCTCTATCTTTTCATAAGAGAAAATAATTTTTTTTTTTTTTTAAATTTGGCCGACCCTGAGAACGAGTTTCGGAGAGGGCCTGTCAACCCTCAAAGGGTTAAAGGCACAAAAATTATGCGTACTTGTACATCAGACACATCCTTGTTAACTGTCTGCTAGTAAGATGGTCACAGATAAGCGGGTTATTTTTACCCCATTCCTTTTCAACTTAATTACCTCTACTCTATGCAACATCTTTCTCCCGTCTCATTTAATTCATGCACTTTCACTTCTCTTACTGTAGCCACTCCTAAATAATTATCTGATATCAGTCCATAAAAAAAAAAATGCACATCCAGAAGACTAACCATTAACCCTTTCAGGGTCCGTTCCGTAGATCTACGGCTTTACGTTCAGGGTCCAAACCGTAGATCTACGTCATGAGCTCAGCTCACTCTGATAAACTGTGAGTGGTACATTTGGGCCCAGATATGAGAGAATACATCTATGTGGTATGTGTGCACCACATAAAACAGATCCTGCAGCACACTGTGTATAATGAGAGAAAAAAAAACTGAAATCATGATTTTTCGATTAAAACAGCGACTGCAGTGTTTTTTCGTATGTTTTTTATAGTTGCATTTGCGATTTCTTGGTCTCATTTGATAGAATGGAAGAGATATTACAGAAATAAAGATGATTTTGATTGGTTTTAGCACTGGAAATGGCTTGAAACTGAGCTCAAAGTAGCAGAAATGTTAAATTTTTGCCGATATTCAAGAGTAAACAAACGACCTCACACGTCTAATACATGCCAGCTGATGGGTCTAATATGCATTCACACATCTGGTGATGATATTTATACAATTATTACAGTATTGCATAACAGTAAATCTTCTATTTTTTGGTGTGAATAAAAATTCATTATGTGAATAAAAAATTAAAATGAAATTTATTTGTAAAGTCTCAAAACATAACTAATGAACAGAGGAAATGTTAGTTTAGTTCCAGGAATACCTACATTGTTTATTCTGGACCCTATTTTGAAATTGGAATATTTTGAACTTTGTGTTAAATTGGCCAGATTAACAATTTCCGATCACTTTAATTTGTAGTTGAAACAGTTGACTTGGCGATTTCTTGTGCTCAATCGATAGAATAGAAGTAATACTAGTGAAATAGCTAAGAATTTGGTTGACTGGAATAATGTAATTGGCCTAAAATGGGAGTCAAAGTCGGCAAAATCGCCGATTCGTAAATATCGCTGACATCAAAATTCGCGAGAGCATAATTTCATCAATTTTCCATCAAATTTCGTACTTCGTTTTATTACCTTCACAAAAAGATTCTCTACCATTTCATAAGAAAAAATAACAATTTTTTTTTGTTTTTTTTAAATTCTTGGACACTGGGGCACCACTTCAGATTTGGGCCTTGGACCCTGAAGGGGTTAATTTAGTAAAATAATATGCAAGTCCAGCCAAATGCTGTATTGAGCACTACATACCTTGTAAACTTATCCTCTTTAAGAATAACCTGTTCCCAAACCATCATCTATACAGTACGTACTTAATTTAATTAGAGGCCCCCCATTATCATTTGTCCTTGGCTTTACAAACTTGTCCTAAGGTGCATAAAACACTATAACCCATTTCTCTCATCCCTATTTTAATCTAGCTCTGTTACTCAGTTTAGCCCTATTTACTTCTCTCCATTGAAATGCTCCCACTGCTTTTAACTTTGTTTCATCTGGTGCTAGTACATCCAATTTTCTGTCATAACATTAACAATTCCTTCCTTCTTATCTGTACTAAAAATAATTCAACCTCCTCCTGCCAGTGTATAATATATAACAGTTGCTTGTGGTTTTCTTTTACTTATCCTCCCCTTCATGTTTTCCCCCCACATTTATCTCCTTTCCATTCTCCCTCTTCTCTATCTCTTCCCTTACCCAGCAAGTCATGTTATACTGATATAAAGTTCTTTTTATTTTCAGGGTCGACCATCATGGATGGTGACACTTCACCAGTCTGCTGTGACATGGCTCTCCCACTTACCAGAGTCACTTAGCACATTACGTCGTACTTTGGACAATATCAAAGATCCCTTATATCGTTACTTTGAACGTGAGGTCAACTCTGGAGCGAAGTTGCTTCGTATTGTGAGAATTGATCTAAGTGATGTCCTACTCATCTGCAAGGTGTGTATACTTTTTTCAAATTGGAACATTATACGGTCATAAAATTTTGCATAGTAAATATGTAAACATGGTTGGTATTTTTGTTTAATAAATGTGTGAAAGAGGGGAGGGTACCTAGGGATTGGCAGAGTGCTTGTATAGCTTTATGTAAAGGGAAGGGGAACAAAAGAGATTGTAAAAATTATAGGGGAATAAGTTTACTGAAGTAAAATGTATGGTAGGGTTATTATTGAAAGAATTAGAGGTAAGACAGAGAGCGGGATTGCAGATGAACAAGGAGGCTTTAGAATGGGTAGAGGATATGTAGATAGTATTTACATTGAAGCATTTATGTGAACAGTATTTAGGTAAAGGTAGAGGAGTTTTCATTGCATTTATGGATTTAGAAAAGGTGAAAGTGTTGGATGATGAAATTTTTTCTTTTTGGGTCACCCTGCCTTGGTGGGAATGGCCAACTTTTAAAAAAAAAAAAAAACATTGCATTCATGGAGTTAGAAAAGGCATATGATAGGATGGATAAGGAATCAACATGGTAGGTGGTGCAAGTGTATGGAATACATGGTAAGTTACTGAAAGCATTTAAGTTTTTATGAGGATATAGAGGCTCGTGTTAGGGTATATAGGAAAAAGGGAGATTTTCCAGTAAAAGTAGGCTTTAACCCTTTGAGGGTCGACAGGCCCTCTCTGAAACTCGTTCTCAGGGTCGGCCAAATTTAAAAAAAAAAATTATTTTCTCTTATGAAAAGATAGAATCTTTTCCCGATCATAAGGACACCAAAAGTTTGAAATTTGATTGAAAACTAACGGAGTTATGCTCTCGCAAAGTTAGCAGTCTCGGCGATGCTTACGCATCGGCGATTTTGCCCACTTTGAGCCCCATTTTTGGCCAATTCCACTGTACTAGTCGACAAAAACATGAATGTTTCGCTAGAACTCCATTTTTTCTATCGAATGGGTGCAAGAAACCACCCATTTATGAAATTCAACTATCCAGTACAGTGGTCAGAATTTAGCAATTTTGCCAATTTCACACAAATTTCAAAAGATGCCAATTTCCGAATAGGGTCCAGAATAAACAAGAAAGACATTCCTGGCACTAAAATGACATTTCCTCTAGTCATTAGTCACGTCTCAAGGCCCCTCTTATATTCTTTTGCTTTCCACTCTGAATTTTTATTCTCACAAAAAATATAAGATTTACTGTTATGCAGACTACTGCATTAGTGTAAAAAATTGTATAAATATTATTGGTGCACTTGTGAAAGAATATCAGACTCACCAGTTGACGTGTATTGCACGCTTGGCACGATTTGTTTACTTTTGAAATTTGGTAAAAATCGAACATTTCTGCTACTTTGAGCTCAATTTCAAGGTACCTTTCATTGTAAAACCAGTCAAAATCATCTCAATTTCTGTAATATGTCTTCCATTCTATAAAATGAGACCAAGAAAACTAGAATACAACAATAAATACCATACGAAAATGCACTGCAAAGTCGCTGTTTTATTCCAATAAAATGGTCAGTTTTTTTTTTCTCATTATGCACTGTGTGCTGCAGGATTTTTTTTTAGACTGTGCACACTGACCACATAGACCCATTCTTTCATATGTAGGCCTACCAGCTTTCTCCCACTAGATTTGAGGGCGCTATAATTTAGGCGTACTAGTACGTCAAAAACCCTGGGTCGTAAGCCGTACTAGTACGTCCGAAACCCTCAAAGGGTTAAAGAGGGATGTGTGATGTCACCATATTTGTTGATAGGGTTGTAAAAGCAGTGAATGCTAGGGTGTTTACCTGGAGTATTTTATTTTTCAACATTGGCCATTTCCCACTGAGGCAGGGTTACCCAAAAAAGAAACTCTCACCATCATTCAACACTGTCACCATCATTCGCATATAATCACTGTCTTTGCAGAGGCACCCAGACATGACAATTATGTCACTCCAAACAGCCAATGTCTCACACCTATCCTTTAAAGTGCGGGCATTGTACTTCTCGCCTCCAGGACTCAAGTCTGGCTAACTCGTATCCATGAATCCCTATCTAATATAAAGTGGAAGTTGTCAGTTACTTTTTGCTGGTAAGACTTCTTTTGGGAGATTCTAAAGAGAAGTTGCAAAAGTTTGTGGATGAATTTAGGAGGGCATGTAAAAGAACATTATCCATGGAGGCAAAAAAGGGGAATGTATGAGGGTATAGTGTTACCAACACTCTTATATGGGTATGAAGCATAGGTTATGAATGTTGCAGTGAGGAGGTTGGAGGCAGTGGAAATGTCTGAGGGAAATGTGCGGTGTTAATATTAATCAGAGAATTCATTTAGAGATAAGGAGAAAATGCTGGGTTATTAAAAGTAACTCAGGGCTGAGTAAAGGTGGTTGAGGTGGTTTGGACACTGAGAGGTGGAGCAAAATAGGATGACTTGGGGGATGTGTAAATTCGTAATGGAGGGAAGGTGGGGTAGAGGTCGCCTAGGAAGGGTTGGAGGGAGGTGGGTCAAGGTGGTTTTGTGTGTGAGGGGCGTGGACATTCACTAGGTGTGTGTGAGCATCTTGAGAGTGGAGGCAAGTGGTTTTTATGATTTGACTTGCTGTCGGAATGTCAACAAGGTAACATCTGTTAAGGGTTCCAGGGAAACCAGTTAGCTGGACTTGAATCCTAGAGATGGGAAATACAGTGCCTGCACTCTGAAGGTGGGGTGGGGATATTTGCAGTTTGGAGGGGTATCTGAATTTAGTATCAGTTCATTTCTGGGAAGACAGTGATGGAGTCAGTGATGGTGGAAGTCTCTACATGAAAATATAGGCTAGACTTAATAGTCTTATCCCTATTCATTGTTTAGTTGAGCAAAAACTAGGTACCTCAGATTTGTCCTTAGTCCTGTCATCATCATAAACTAAATTATTTACTACTGCAAAAAATCACTGATTTCAGAATTGAAATACTTGTGTTTATTTAAAATTTTGATTCCACGTAATGGTTAAATTGTATCAAATAATGAAGAGAGTATAATAGTTTTAAAAAATAGGTGTTCTTCAAAGCACTTTCACTGTTAACCTTCAACTTTCAGGGCGAGAAAAAGCAAACGAACTACCATCGCACAATGGTAAGTCAGCTAGTGAAAGGCATCATTCCTGATCAGTGGAAAGCATACACAGTCCCTCGTGGAGCAACTGTCATCCAGTGGATTACAGACTTTTCACAGAGAGTTAGACAGCTTCAAGAAATTTCTCAACAGGTTGCTCAGTTTGGCGCTACAGAACTCAAGGTAACTTTTTAAGTTTTCAGCATTGAAACCACATTGCATGCATGTGCACTGGAGTCATTTTATATACTGAATTGTGAAAGATGAGCTTTCTCCCTAGTAACTGGTACATTAGGGTTGGATATATTTGCAGCAGACTAGTTTACACTTGCTTATTAATGCCAATATTTTTGGTACTGGCTGTTATGAACTTTTTGATTCTTGTAGTATTTTGATCTGTATATTTAATTATAGTACATCATTACAGCATTTTTGTTTGCTTTTTAAATTCTTTGTAAGTTAAATTTCAATTTAATAAAATTCAATCATAAATTTTATTCTTAGTAAATAATCAGTTATTAAGATTTGTATTACAATACATTATTATATAATGCTAACTAGTGTACTATTACATATACACATACTGTATTATTTAATGTTTTTATTTTCATACTGTTAGTATTAGTCTTAGGTTTAGTCTTCCCTAAGTGATATGTATAACCATGAGCTCATCCTAGAATAATGTAAAGTGGTACCCTGAATTTTACACAGGGTTTGTCAAGGTTAAGGATCCCTAGCTTTATTGACAAGCTATTTACAGGTTATGGATTCCTAACTTTATTGGCAAGCTAAGAGCTGTTACATACATCAGCTCATTTGAAAGCATTTGTATTGTTATGAGACATACAAGTAGGGAACAGGATGAAGTTGGAGCCATCTGTGGGCCAGCATTTTCATTTGATCAACTGACTTCATCTCGTTGACATCATTATGCTGTACGAATGTGCTCCATACTCGAGTCATCCTGGGTATATATGATCTCAGATGGAGTGATGTTCTGGAGAAGGGTACAGCCAGAGTGAAGTTGCTGCTTTCTGCCCGTCCTGCGGCATAAAAGCTTGTTTCACGCTGTCCTTGAAGTGGATCCAAGTGTGGTACTTTGACAATATTGGCCTTGTACATAACAGTAAGGCCATCCACATCCTTCCTGTGTTGAAGGCTCTGCTGAAATGACGGATCTATCCAGGATGGGTCCAGGCGAGAGATGAGACGTCTTGCTCTGTTCTCTACTCTGTCAAGCAGTCGCAGATGAGAGGGGGGGGGGGGGAAGGCAAACCAAGAAAGTGGAGCATACTCAAGGTGTGAGCGTACTTGTGCCTCGTACAGGATCTTGCAACCCCTACTGTCAAGCAGATGCGAGATACGACGAAGTGCTGTAAGCTTCCTGGCTGCCTTGTTTGCAAGATTTACAACATGGTTCTTCATGGTTAGTTTGGAGTCAAATTTCACCCCAAGGATATCTACTTCTCCAGGTGCCAACACCCTCCCATTCATCCTTACTACTGCACCAGCATTACCATCATGGTACCTAGAGACGATCACAATTTGCGTTTTCTAAGGTGCAAATGTTAATTGCCATCTATTTCCCCAAGCTGATATAGCTCTTAGCTGGTGATTGATGTAGCTTAGAGCAGCTGGCATTTCTTCTCTTGGATAAGTGAATGTCAGTGTACAGTCGTCTGCATATGCATGTGATTCTGGGACGAGATGAAGGTCATTGAAGTAGACATTCCATAACGATTGTCCCGGCACGCTTCCTTGTGGAACACTTGCCCCAATAGGATGTCTTGCTGATTCCGTTCCATTGAGAACTACACTTAGAGATCTACCATGAAGGTAATCACTGAGGAGACATAGCGTAGAGCCTGCAATTCCCAGTGCTTTAAGTTTTGCTAAGAGGCCCTGGTGCCACACCCGGTCGAAAGCGCCAGCAATGTCCAGTGCTACAACACAGCTGACTTTGGATTCATCCAGTGGCTGGTGCCATCTAGTGGAGAGGTTTAACAACAGATTAGCAGCAGAGTAACCTTTCCTGAAGCCATATTGACGATCACAGAGTAGTGAGTGGTAGTCAAAAAACTGTCATTTGTCTTGAGATTGTCTCGAGGATCTTACCAGTGATTTACAGGAGTGACACTGGTCTGTAGTTGATGATTTCTGCTCTGCTCTTCTTTTTGTGAACAGGGACTACATTTGCCTCTTTCCACAGAGAGGGCCATTTACACTGTACTAGGCAGTGCTGAAAGATGCGAGTTAGAGGTGCTGCTAGCTGGTCTGCACATCTCGGCAATCTTGGGCTCAACTTGTCTGGGCCCACAGCCTTTTCTTGGTCAAGCAATTTAAGAAGGAAATGCACCTCCTCCTGCCTTATTGTCACCACTGACAGTTTTGACACAGTTCTTGCAGCTAGCCAAGGAGGGTCCCTTGCTGGATCAGGAACTTGCATTTTGGTAGTAAAGTGTTCAGCAAAGAGGTCCGCCTTCTCTTGACTACTAGTAGAGGTGGTCCCATCCTGTCGATATAGAGGTGGAATAAGTTCATCAGGCAGATAACCTTGTCTGTCCTTGACCAGGGACCACCAGGTTTTGGAGCCTACCCTACCTGATGCTAGCTTTCTTTTAGTGTTACCGAACGAATTTGTTTCAAACCCCAAAAATACACTTACAAAAGCAGTTACAAAAATACACTTACATAATTGTTCAAGTTGGGACCTGTTTGAAATTGAAGATACCACTGTACTTTATTATTATTATTAACACTGGCCGATTCCCACCAAGGCAGGGTGGCCCGAAAAAGAAAAACTTTCACCATCATTCACTCCATCACTGTCTTGCCAGAAGGGTGCTTTACACTACAGTTTTTAAACTGCAGCATTAATACCCCTCCTTCAGAGTGCAGGCACTGTACTTCCCATCTCCAGGACTCAAGTCCAGCCTGCCGGTTTCCCTGAATCCCTTCATAAATGTTACTTTGCTCACACTCCAACAGCACGTCAAGTATTAAAAACCATTCGTCTCCATTCACTCCTATCAAACACGCTCACGCATGCCCGCTGGAAGTCCAAGCCCCTTGCTCACAAAACCTCCTTTACCCCCTCCCTCCAACCTTTCCTAGGCCGACCCCTACCCCGCCTTCCTTCCACTATAGACTGATACACTCTTGAAGTTATTCTGTTTTGCTGCATTCTCCCTACATGTCCGAACCACCTCAACAACCCTTCCTCAACCCTCTGGACAACAGTTTTGGCAATCCTGCACCTCCTCCTAACTTCCAAACTACGAATTCTCTGCATTATATTCACACCACACATTGCCCTCAGACATGACATCTCCACTGCCTCCAGCCTTCTCGCTGCAACATTCATCACCCATGCTTCACACCCATATAAGAGCATTGGTAAAACTATACTCTCATACATTCCCCTCTTTGCTTCCAGGGACAAAGTTCTTTGTCTACACAGACTCCTAAGTGTACCACTCACCCTTTTCCCCTCATCAATTCTATGATTCACCTCATCTTTCATAGACCCATCTTCTGACATGTCCACTCCCAAATATCTGAATACATTCACTTCCTCCATACTCTCTCCCTCCAGTCTGATATCCAATCTTTCATCACCTAATCTTTTTGTTATCCTCATAACCTTACTCTTTCCTGTGTTCACTTTTAATTTTCTTCTTTTGCTTACCCTACTAAATTCACCCACCAACCTCTGCAACTTCTCTTCAGAATCTCCCAAGAGCACAGTGTCATCAGCAAAGAGCAACTGTGACAACTCCCACTTTGTGTGATTCTTTATCTTTTAACTCCACACCTCTTGCCAAGACCCTCGCATTTATTTCTCTTACAACCCCATCTATAAATATATTGAACAACCACGGTGACATCACACATCCTTGTCTAAGGCCTACTTTTACTGGGAAATAATCTCCCTCTTTCCTACATACTCTAACTTGAGCCTCACTATCCTCATAAAAACTCTTCACTGCTTTCAGTAACCTACCTCCTATACCATACACCTGCAACATCTGCCACATTGCCCCCCTATCCACCCTGTCATATGCCTTTTCCAAATCCATAAATGCCACAAAAACCTCTTTAGCCTTATCTAAATACTGTTCACTTATATGTTTCACTGTAAACACCTGGTCCACACACCCCCTACCTTTCCTAAAGCCTCCTTGTTCATCTGCTATCCTATTCTCCATCTTACTCTTAATTCTTTCAATAATAACTCTACCATACACTTTACTAGGTATACTCAACAGACTTATCCCCCTATAGTTTTTGCACACACTTTTGTCCTCTTTGCCTTTATACAAAGGAACTATGCATGCTCTCTGCCAATCCCTAGGTACCTTACCCTCTTCCATACATTTATTAAATAATTGCACCAGCCACTCCAAAACTATATCCCCACCTGCTTTTAACATTTCTATCTTTATCTCATCAATCCCAGCTGCCTTATCTTTGGCAAAGTTGGAAACCTGATCATTCTTTTATTGCACATTAATTTACTAAAATTTATTAAGTTAAAGCTTTTCTATGCTGGACAGTGCATTTTTTTTTCTTTTTTTTTAATTATGAACCTTAATTGTTAGTAGATTCTTAAATTGTGTATAAAGTGCATAATTCCCCATTATGCTGGCACTTGCTTGGGGGGTGTTTAGTTCTTGAGTGAAGAGTTATTTTTTATAATTTGTCAAATAATATTCTTTTTATAGATTAACACATTTATTCATTTCAGAATGTTACAGTATGGCTTGGAGGCCTCTTCAACCCTGAGGCTTATATTACAGCCACATGCCAATGTGTTGCTCAGGCTAATTCATGGTCGCTTGAGGAACTTATGTTGGAAGTTTCAATTGCTGATTCTGAAGGCCAGATTACCTCTCGTGGGGGCTTCAGTGTAAAGGGTAGGTTGCAGTTAATGAAAATCTTCATTCAGAATACTAAACCATTATAAATTTCACTTTTGGCAGGATAAACTTAGTGAATGTAAGGGAGTTGAACATAAGAAAGCTTTGAGATACAGTAGTAAACATAATCTTGCTTGATAACAGCAACACAATGCAGGCTATGGTATTTTATGTTTTGTCTGCCAGGAACTTGTAAAACAGTAGAGGTGAGGTTTGTGAAGTGTAGAAAAGTCCTGCACATTGTCATTATCATTTTGGTATATACGTGCTTTATAACAATCTAGCCCCTCAAAGGAGTCTTGATGCTGGTGGGAAAAACTTGGTCCAAGGAATTAGACGACCTGCCCTTGGATTGAACCTGAATGTCTCCCATTCCCAAGTCATTATATGACTGCTGTTGGTTTAACACTTTCCTCTGATTAAAATAAACAATCTGGCTTGTTATATACAAGGTTGTATTAAACCATCAGAGGACTTGCTCATATATAATCCTTCAGTATATTTACCATGAATTTTGTTTACTCTGACCCCATGTGTATTTCCTTCAAGATGTGCTGTAATTTGGTCATATATTTTCACCAGCAATGATGCCATGCTTGATTCTAAGAAAATTAAGTATCATTGGATAAATTTATATTTTGCAGGTTTGAAGCTACAGGGTGCAGTATGTGTTGAGAATGCCTTGCAGCTGACTCCAACAATTATGACTGATCTGCCCATGGTCACCCTCCATTGGGTGCATGTAGAAGTCACAGATACCAATAAGATAACTCTGCCAGTGTACCTTAATGCCACAAGGACTGATATTCTCTTCACTGTAGATCTTAACATGGCTGCTAACCAGAGTCCCCATAGCTTCTATGAGAGAGGTGTTGCTTTGTTGGCATCTGTCAGTCTTAACTGAAGTTCATATTAAATTCTTGTTTGTATTTATATATATTTAATTATTTGGGCCTTGGGCAAGAGTTAATTGAAATTTTATTTATTCTATAAAGGATGAAATAGACTCGACCCTTTCACTGTCAGTCCCGTAATATTACTGCTTGCAAGCCAGTGTCGATCCCGTAATACTACGCCAAAATTCTAGCGCCTTCATATCTGGTGGGAGAAAACTGGTAGGTCTACATGCGAGAGAATGGGTTTGTGTGCACAGTATAAAAAAAATCCTGCAGCACACAGTGCATAATGAGAAAAGAGGACTCCGTGTTTTTGGCTTAAAACACCAACTTTGCGGTGTATTTTCGTGTGGTATTTATAGCTGTATTCTTGTTTTCTTGGTCTCATTTGATAGAATGGAAGATATATTACAGAAATAGAGATGATTTTGAGTAGTTTTCTGACTAAAATTACCTTAAAATTGAACTCAAAATAGCAGAAGTGTTCGATTTTTGCTGATGCTCAAGAGTTGACAAATCACGCCACACATACAATTCACGTCAACTGGTGGGTGTAATATGCTTTCACAAATGTGCTGATATTATTTATACCATTTTTACAATATTGCCGTAGTCTGCATAAGTCTTTTAATTTTTTGTGTGAATGAAAATTCAAAATGGAAAGCAAGCATAATATAAGAGGGGCCTGGAGACATGACTAATGAACAGAGAGTTATTTTAGAGCTAGGAATGTTTACATTGTTAATTTGGACCCTGTTTTGAAATTGGCCTTGAATTGTGTATGAAATTGGCCAAATTAACAATTTCTGATCACTTTATTGGATAGTTGAAATCAGTAAATGGGCGCTTTATTGCATTCAATCGATAGAACAAATGGAGTTCTAGTGAAATAGCTACAAGTTTGGTCAACTGGAGCAATGGTATTGGCTGAAAATAGGGCTCAAAGTGGGTTAAAGTTGGTGATGCGTAAATATTGCCTAGACCGCTAACTTCACAAGAGCGTTATTCTGTAAGTTTTCTCATCAAATTTTGTACTTTTGGTGTCCTTACAATCTGGAAAAGATTCTCTATCATTTCCTAAGAAAAAATAATTTTTTTTTTTAATTCTTCGACACTGAGAGCAAGTTTGTGAGCAGGGGTCTCGTTTGTGAAAGGGTTAAAGAAGTTTCTAGTCTTGACGTTTTTGATCATTCCATTTACAATAAATTAAGAATTACTTTAAAGTATAATTGATATATTCTGAGTTCAAAACTAATCATCAGCAAGAAGAAAAATTGCTAGTAAAATTTACTTGCTAGTATGTTACATTTGTCTGAAACAAATCATGAGCCTACAAATTGGAAAGAATGTAATAATATTCAATAAGGACACTATAATGGCTCATTAATAATTAATTGTATTTGTAACACCTAAATAAAAAATTTAAAACCCACTTAGTTTTATTATTTTAGAGAATGCTGTCCTAATGTATATATTGACTGTTAGATTTACTACCTCAATATTGGGCAAAAGGTACTGGTATTTCCTTTTATGTATACAGTATATACAAGGCTGTTCTCACTGCTCCATTTTTAAAGTATTTTCCAGATCATAATATATGGCAGACCCTGCTTTACAGCATTTTGCTAGTGCAGCAGTTTTCAATTTACCCATTCTTCATTTATTCAGACTTCCTACAATAAATATATTCACCACTCACTATAAGCTGAAGATGAAAATATTTTAAGTAATGTGTACAATGTGTATGCATTTTTTAGGTCTAGCTCTATTGCTCACTTCAGATTTGAGTGTAAACATGTTATCAGCCTTTAATATGCATTTGAAAGTGGAAAAAAAGGCTGTTGCACTTTACAACAGTAGCCTGGAATCAAACCTGCTATATAAGTGAGCCTCTTCAAGGGGGCTCCTTGGCGTGGTGAAGAGGCTCTTGGTCTGAGGAATTAGACCTGTCGGTCTCCTTCCTCAGACCGAACCTAATTACCCCCCAATCCCCCTTCCCTATCCCATCCTCCCCTTTTCCCTTTCCTCCTCCCCCTCCCCACCCCTCCCTTTTGCCCTTCCTCTTTTTGGCCTTTGGGATTTTTCCCACAGGCGCGCTAGTTCCTAGGTAGGGGAAAGGGTACCGGGGTCCATCCCATTCCGTTGAGGTTCTTGGCGGTGGCGTAGCTTGCCATGGAATCTGGATTGCCTGGGGATGTCCCGATCCCTCTCCGGTATCCCGGAGGGTGGCTTTGGGTGTCTTTCGGGCAACGGGTGTATCTCTGGAAGCCACCTTTCGGATTCCGGGGGTGGTGGCCGAAGGAGGTATGCTTTGTGGCGGATATCCGGCTGCCCTCTTTTGTCCACAGAGGTAGCTCGGCAGATGTGAGGTTGCTATCCCAGATTGCTGGTTTACTGGCATGATGGGTAGGGTATGGCACGGGTTCCATGCTGCATCTACGCTACTTGCGGTGCTGAGGCCCTCTTGGGCACGGAGGGAGATTTCTGGCCCTTTCATTCCTCCTAGGAACTATCCCTCCCCGGTCCCCACTTTTTTTTTTATTCTTTTTTTATTATTTTCTTTCTTTTTTTTTTCTTAAAAACAAAAAGAAAGAAGTAACCTAACCATGGCAGCCCTAGTCCATGAACCTGCTACCCCCGGGCCCCTTCTTGATACCGCACCCCGTTCTTACCCCGCCTTGTCTTTGGACCACTCTTCGGACACTCCTCATGCCTCTGTACCTCTTGCTGGTGCTGTTTCCTCACCCGCTTCAGGTACTGAGGTCTCGACTGACTCCTTTGATTTATCTGACCTCCACTCTCCTTTGACTAATGCTTCCGGCCTCTCCCTCTACGGTGCGGCAATTTTCGAATCGCCGGCCTGTTCCACATTGGACCAACTCTGGTCCCACGCCTAAACGCCAACGACAATTACCTGCTGATGATACTTCTCCACCTTCTCGTTCTCAGAAAAGATCGACACATCCTGCACTCCCTTTCCACCCTCAGTTTCAGACTGCACAATGGACTAAATTCTTCACTTTACGACCGACTTCCTCTACCGCCTATCTTTCCGACCGCAGTATTGGCAAGGCACTCCGACGCCATGTTGGTAAAGATATTTCTTTTCATGCTCTTAAGAGCGGTACGCGCATCATCACTGTACAGAATGCTACCCAAGCTCATGATCTTTCTCTTCTTTCCCATATAGATACTGTTCCTGTCACTATTGAAAAACATCATTCCCTCAATTCTTGTAGTGGTACAGTCATTCTGCCCCATACCATAGTTCAACAAAATTTCCAGACATGTGGCAATGACATTCTTGAACAGCTGGAACTCCAAGATCTCCCAATCCTCAAGGTAGACACTTATGTTCTTCCTGCCCGTGGGCGGAGACGATACCCTAGCAATGTGGCTCGTTTAACTTTTGACAGCCGTGAACTCCCATCCTCAGTTTATGTAGCAGGACATCGGTTACAAGTTCAAAAGGTGATCCCAACACTGCAGCAGTGTAGAAATTGCTGGCGATTTGGCCATCCAGTGAAATATTGCAGATCCATAGCCGAATGCCCAGTCCGTGGTGCCGATGACCATTCTAATACGTCTTGCAATCAAACTCCTCCTTGCCTTAATTGTCATGAGGCTCGCCCTTCGTACTCTCGCTGTTGCCAAGTCTACTTAAATGAGCGGGAAATTCGTTACCTCTCAGAGGCAGAAGGTCTCCCTTACGCCATGACAGTTTCTCATCTTCGCCTCCAAGGGAGACTACCTCGTGTTTCTTATTCCCGTGTTTCAAAACGTCCCCCCACTTCTGGGGTCCCATCTTCTGCAGCCTCCTCTGTGGTTACCTCTCCCATAGTCACTCCTGTATCTAATTCTTTTGCTGTCCTAGGTTCAGACGTCCCTACTTCAATGCCTCAGTCTGTTCTCACTTCTTCATGTTCTCCCTCACAAGCCTCAGTATCGACGAGACCTCGTACGACACCACCTCCCAATCGTCCCTCTACTTCTCGGAAGTCAAAAAAAGGTCCTTTAACCCCTCCTTCCCTTCTTCCACCTCCTCATCCTCTTCAAGGGAGGCTCCTTGTGGTGAAGAGGCTCTTGGTCTGAGGAATCAGACCTGTTGGTCTGATTCCTATCCCATCCTCCCCTTTTTCCTTTCCTCCTCCTCCCCACCCCTCCCTTTTGCCCTTCCTCTTTTTGGCCTTTGGGATTTCTCCCACAGGCGCGCTAGTTCCTAGGTAGGGGAAAGGATACCGGGGTCCATCCCATTCTGTTGAGGTTCTTGGCGGTGGCGTAGTTTGCCGTGGAATCTGGATTGCCTGGGGATGTCCCGATCCCTCTCCGGTATCCCAGAGTAGCTTTAGGTGTCTTTCGGGCAACGGGTGTATCTCTGGAAGCCACCTTTCGGATTCCGGGGGTGGTGGCCGAAGGAGGTATGCTTTGTGGCGGATATCTGACCGCCCTCTCTTTTGTCCACAGAGGTAGCTCGGCAGATGTGAGGTTGCTATCCCGGATTGCTGGTTTACTGGCATGATGGGTAGGGTATGGCACAGGTTCCATGCTGCATCTGCCACTCCGGCATCTAATCCTTTTGCTGTCCTTGGCTCTGATGTCCCGACTACAACTCGGTCTGTTCTCACATCTTCGCGTCCTTCCTCACAAGCCCCAGTATCGACAAGACCTCGTACGACACCTAATACCAATCACCCCTCTACTTCTCAGAAGTCCAAAAAAAATCCATATTGCTCAAATCTTCTTTGCCCCTTCCTTCCCTTCTTCCACCTACACACTTTACCTTTCCAGTCTCTGTGCCTAGTTCTTCCCCTCTCTCTGGCTTTATTACAAGTGTGGAGATTCACCCTCCTCCTCATACTATGCCTTCCACCCCCATCCCCTCCCAAGTTTCTCCCTCTTCTGCCACCTCCCAGGTTTCTGCCTCTTCTGTCCCCCCCCCACACTTCATCTCCAGTCCCTTACACTCTTTTGTCCCCCTCTACTTTGGTACAGTCCATTACTGTCCCAATCTTTACTCACCCTCCTCCTCCTATCTCCAATATGGTCTCCCATACATCTTTGAATTCAGAAACACTTGAAGCCATTTCAGAATATATTGCAGAGACTAAACCTTCAATGGACACTGATTCACTTCCTGTTCCTTCTCTTCCCTCTCCTCCATCTTCACAACCCCATTCTTCGCAACGCTCAGTTCCTTCGCTACTTGAACATCTTCCAATGCCACCACACGTTGACTTTTCTAACCCCTCTAGTCCGTAAGTGCCTTTACCTACAGATTCCTGATATTTTCTTCATCGCCAATCATGGCCTATTTACAGTGGAATATCCGCGGCCTCAGGGGTAATCGGGTTGAGCTTCAGATGTTGCTTTCCAGGTTTTTCCCTGTTGGTGCTTGCTTACAAGAACCAAAATTACACTCGGCTGTTTTCCAACCTATCTCAGGCTATAATTTATTGTATTCTTCGGATCCTTTCTCAGATGGGACCTTTAATGAAAGTGCCCTTCTTCTACGCAATGATATTCCGTACTGTCAACTATTTGTCCATACCTCGCTGCATTACACTGCAGCCCGTATCCACTTGAATAAGTGGTTTACAATATGTTCTTTATATCTCTCTCCTTCTCGAGCATTTTCTATCCCAGACTTTGCCTTTCTTGTTTCATCCTTACCACCACCACTTCTGTTACTTGGTGATTTTAATGCCCACCATTTCCTCTGGGGGGGGGTCTCATTGTGACTCACGTGGCATTCAGTTGGAGGCTTTTCTCGCCTCTCGCCCCCTCCATGTTTTAAATACGGGTACTCCCACCCATTTTGATCCTCGTACTCATACTCTCTCTCGCATCGATCTATCAGTCTGCTCTTCCTCCACTGCACTAGACTTCACCTGGTCTGTTTTACCAGACTTACATGACAGCGATCATTTTCCGATCATTCTTTCTTCTCCTTCCTATTCACCACCTTTCCGTAGCCCTCGCTGGCAATTTGATCAGGCAAATTGGGTCCTTTACTCGCAGCTCACTGCTTTTAGTGAGGTTCCTTCTTCATTCTCCTTTGATGAGCTCCTACACCTCTTCTCGACGTCAGTTTATACCACAGCTTCTCATTCTATACCCCAAACCTCAGGCAAGCATTCTCAGAAGTGCATGCCTTGGTGGTCTCCTGCTTGTGCTCATGCAGTACGTTTGAAACGCGCTGCATGGAGCAGGTACTGATACAATAGAACCAATGAGAGACTTCTTGATTTTAAGCAGAAGCGTGCAATCACTTGCCGTGTCATCCGTGATGCTAAACGCACTTGCTGGCGAGACTATGTTTCCACCATCACCTCTGCTTCCTCTATGAGTGCAGTCTGGAAAAAAGTGAGGAAATTGAGTGGTAAATACTCTCCTGACCCGGCTCCTGTTCTACGGGTCGCCGGTATTGATGTA